CACATATACAAACATGCACACATGTAAGAGTACATATATATGAATGTGTGCGTGTCCACGCACACACACATATATTTATATGTGTTTATGTATGCGTGCGTGTGTACAGATACAGATACACACATAGAAAAGACACACACACACACACACACACACACACACACACACACACACACACACACACACACACATTTCATACGAAATGGTATTTGTCTTCCAACCAGAGGCTCTAGAAGTTTTCTAGGAAAGACTGTGATAATTTTAGTAATCTCCTTTATAATCGCCTTAATCATCAGAGCTGTAGTTATAATTCTTGCTTCGCTTTTGGCAAAGAGAGAGAGAGAAAAAAAACTCCCCTTCCGAATGGGGTTTGATCCTAAAGGGTCCGCTCGACTTAAATTTTCTCTACGATTTTTTTTTCTATTGCCGTCATTTTTCAAATTTTCGATGTTGAGATTTCGCTCCTAATGCTTTTATCTATAATTATCAATTTTTCAAACGTCTCAGCATGAGCTTTTACGGATTGCTTTTATCATTATCCTCCTTGAAGGTCTATAGCACGAAGAAAACCAAGGAGCATCAGAATGAGCTTATTGAAGTTACAGTCAAAATGGCATTTCATTTGCACTCAGAAAGTGCTCCTTTAGGAGCTAACTTCATTAAGTAAAAATTGAATTATTGCATTCGGTTTCGACCTGACCTTTGGTGCTAACTCACCTTTGCTTGTTTGGTTAGAGCCAAAGTAGAAGCTTATCACTGCTTATGATAGAAATGGAGTGTGATACCTCTAACCAAGGGAGCAGGTGGATCAAGGAGCTGCTAACTTCTCATTTGGGCGGTTAAACCCCGTTTGTCCTTGTTATCATTGCGTGATAATCTCATTACATTTTCATTGTAAAACTAAGGGTAAACAATCCTTTTAAAAGCAGTGCATTGTAACTAAAATATACCTATAAATTACAGCAATCTCCTTTGCAGCTTCAGTGCAATGCTCCAATATAGAAGCTATAGAGGTAAATTGCAATGATTACTCATAATTACCCAGAGTGAAAAAAAATAATATATTTTTTGTACTATCATTTGGAACACCTGTAAGCTTTCAGATCAAGTTATTATAATAGAATAAATCCCCTGTCTTCCATAATATTCAGATCATCCTATATCTCCTACTCTATGATAAAAATCCTAAATTAAGATCCCCAGGTAAGCTATATTAAACTAAACGCATCGTATTACAAACCGTCAATTCAGTTGTCAGAGAATATGATAGGAAAAAATATATATATTGAGCAGACATAAAAACAACTTCTGAATTTGTATCTTTAGAATGAAAACCAGCAAAAGAGAAGTTCCATTTAAAGCCAAATTTCTTAAATTTATAGATATTCCTGTCATTGTTATTCGAATGTCCTGACCTTCTTTTACACTATGATTACAGCTCCAGCACATACCAGTAAAAGAGCTATGAATAATTCATTTGTTGATAAATGAAAAGGGCAATATCAGGACACCCTAATGACGAAATTCTCATTACTACTCTTAGTTGACATGAAGTTGATAAAGCAATAATATTTTTTTAAAGTCGTATCCAAAATTTACACCAAGCCCGGCTGTAAATATAATCGTGATAAAAGTAATAACACTATCCGAGATAAACGTCCTTGTAAAGCTGGGCTAAATCGAATGAATAAATAAACATCTGCTGTTACTAATGTAGACGAATGTACTAAAGCAGATACCGTAGTAGGGGCTATTACAGCTGCAGGCAACCAGGCAGAAAAAAGGTACTTGAGTACTTTTGTTAACAGCAGCTAAAACTACCAAACCACAGCAATCCACCATAATCCATTTAGGTATATTTTCCACAAAATAAAGAATTTGATTCTCCCACAACTTAAAAGTTAAAAGATTGCAAATAAGATAGCTACATAATCTCCCCAATTTGAGACAGCTGTTAACATCCCAGGATTATCTGATTTTTCATTTTGATAATAGATAACCAGGCCGCAGGATACTAATCCTAAACCATCTCAGCCAAAAAGAATACTAATCAAATTAGGGATAATAATTATAAACACTATAGTTATTACAAAAGTTAACACTAAATACATAAGCCGATTTATAATTCTATCCCGTATATTCATTCCCCTCTGAAATATAATACTAAAGAAGATATTGATATTACAAACCCCAAAAATATGAAAGATATTCAAGGCAAGGTAAATGTTATTATAATAGATTTAGAGTTTAATCTTAGTAATTCTCATTCAATAAATCAAGCTTGACCTCTTCTTAAACATCATAAAAAAACTAGGCAAATTAAAGAACCTCCGAGTAAAAATAATATTCTTGATATATTGATAGTATTCATAAAGGTTTAAAATGAGTAATACTAAAACTCCGGTGCTGCAAACCGACGTTTAATTTAAGCTATTTATACTTTTATGTTATACATAATAGTTCCTTTTAAAATCAGAATATTTAGAGGCAGTAAGAGTAATAGTAAGAGGAAATACTCCTGCACCGTACCAGAACACGAAAACAAAGCTATGTAATATTCCCCATGTTCCCTTAAAGAAAATATATGTTAAGTATTATCGGCTCTAAAAAGACAATGATGAAATATATGATATTCTTACTTTTCTCCAAGATACTACTCTAATCATTCAGCTCATTTCACCTAAAAGATTTAAAGTAGGTGCTGCTATAGTATCCGCACTCAAAAGGAACTACCATAAAGCTACTCGAGGTATGAAATTTATCTGTCTCTTTACGATTCATAATATTCATCCTCCTACTCATTCGTGAACCATGTTAGCCAAAAGAAAACAAACCGGAGAACACAATCCGTGCCCAATCATTACTACCCTTCACTCCTAATCAACCAAATACTACCAATCCAGATGACACTAATCCTATTTGGCCACGGAAGAATAAGCAGTTAAAGCTTTTATATCAACTCGCCGTAAACACATTAATCCCACTACTACTACTCCTACTAATCTAATTCTCACTCGCAGTCAAGCTAAATTTTTATTGGCTTGTCCGAACAAAGGTAATACTGCAATCAAGCCATGTCCCCATAGTTTGAATATATCACCGGCTTGCATTGTTGATCCCGCAATGGGTGCCTCTACATGTGCTTTTGGTAGTCATATGTGAGGTAAAAATATAGGCAATTTTACAATAAAAGCAAAGACTGTTACTACACATCAAATACAAGAAATAAATCTTGTTCTCTTCATATTTTCAACTAATCAAGTTAATCTTCCACTTATGTAGTCTGATTAAAGATACCAACAAAGGAGAAGAAGCAAATAAAGTGAATAATAATAATATATAGACCCTTGCCTGCTGATAACCTCACCCCAAGATAAGGATAAAAGTAGGAATTAAAGAACTCAAATCTAATAAAGAATAACAAGTAATCATTAACTGAAAAGTTATAATTAAAACAATAAAAAAATTATTAACAAAAAAAAAGGAAGAGTAATCCTCTTCCTTCAATACTTTTTGGCTAGAACAGACCGCAAGACGTTATTCAAAATCTCAATAAAATTAAAATTTATTCTAATGAATCAACATTAAAGCACAACTCTACAATAGTGGCTAAAATCGTGATGACAATACATTATCAAAATGAAAGAGAGTAAATAAAGACCTTTGCAAAGCTCACCATGAATTAACCGAGTGTATCAATATAATATAAGCCAACAAAAATTTTATAATATTAAAATTATAGTATTCTAAATCTAACACAGACATTAACATGTGTCCTCTCCACTGACGCCAAAAGAGCCAGCCCTAACGCCCCTTCACAAGCAGACAGGGTGCAGTCTTTTCCTGTAATTCAAAAGATTCTTAATATAATATATTTTAAACTCGATAAAGTGTTAAGCAAATGTTTACACTTAGAAACAAATACCCATAAACCACAGTTAACTCTTACCATGGGGACAATATAAAGAAAATTCCAAAAAAAAAAAAAAAAAAAAAAAGGCAAACATTTCCCACTTCTAGTGTGTGGTTGACCCTTTAGCCACCAGGGGGGGGGGGGCTGTCTCACCAACGCAGCCATCCATTAATGACGTGACAAAGCTTGTCGATGGAGCTGATGTCGGGGAACAGTTCCTAAGACAGCCTGCATCGCAAAAGTCCAGCAGTCAGTGTCCAATTTGGCGGCAGCGTCGCCCCTTGTGGCTAACGGAACGCCCTGGATGTCAAGAAATGTGTTTCAGTGTGAATTCTGCCATGTGGGCTTTTATGGCAACGAAATGCTAGTGGACACTTTGACTTGTATCGCATAACATGTTAAGCTAAGCATAGACTGTTAAATGGGGAGAAACATGAGAGCATGATCCTTGGCTAATAATCGAAAATATACTACTTAATTATGAAAAAAGACATGATTACTAACACATAAAATGCCACAGTGAATGTGTTTAGAAGCGAAATCTCAAGCAAAACTCGTGCGGGTCAAAGGGTACATTTGAGCGTCACCGAACGTAGTCTTTGTATTTTTTTTTTTTTTTTTTTTTTTTTTTTTTTTTTTTTTTTTTTACGGAAGGCGGGCCTGGGAAAAGGCCGCTTGGTGGCTCCCTGAACGCTCCTCCAGATGTTCAATAAGCCTCCTTAAGTTCCTCTCTTTGCTTTGTTCATACTTTGGGGTAAGACAATGAATTTTCCAATCTCAGAGTACGTAACATAGGCCTACACAGTCAACTATTTTGGAATTTCCAAATCCCTTTGACGAATGTTTGGTCGATTGGATCGGATTCCTTGCGCCTTTTCACCTCCCAAAGGAATTAGATACGACGTAAACCCCACTCAGCTTTTCAAGAGTGCAATGGAAAATAGGTTATAACAACGGTTTGTTTTCATGTACTTTTTGTTTCTGTTTTTTAACTATTTATTCCACGTTCATTGTTCTGCATTTTCTTTCCCTAATGATTTGTCCTCCGGAAATGGGGAACATTAAGCCAAGTTTCCCTCTTTTTCAG